ACGATGGGGGTCAGGGCTACAGGCTACAAGTCAAAGACACACAACAAAATCTTCCTCTGTTTCAACTGGAGGAGCTGAGGATGAAGCTCTGGTTTTTTTCCCCTGTGCCAGTTTTCATCTGGGGAGTTCCTCTGCCAAGGTGACCGAAGGAAAGACGTTGTCCTTGGAGCTCCTACGTCAGTTGGAGTCTGAACCCCATGCCATTGTTTACTTCCTGAGAACTTCCAGTGTTGTCATCCAACATGCATGTATTGCTTTATTCTGGTTTAGGCTCATATCTCCACTTCATCAATAATCCTCCAATCCTCACACCATCGCCTCCTGTGCAGGTTTGTAAGGGCGCACAGCAGCTAAAAGATCTTTGTTATAAAGAAGTCAAAAGTAGATCCCAGGCTGCTAATGCAGGACACTGCACACAGGGTGACCCCTGATTTGATACCAGTGGGTACTGGATTGTAGAGAAGTCTCTCTTCAGTGGTGGGACCCACAGGGTTTTCCTTTCATGAGGAATCCACTCAGTCACCGGCTCCTCGGTCTCAGACAATGCTCCTATGTTCTTTTCCATCAGTTGCTCGGCCTCCACCTCCATGCCCCCCAACTCCAATCCTCCCCCAAAGAAGAGGATTCAGGCACTGGCTAGTACTCATCATCAGTGGTGACGCAGTCAGCCTCTTTGGAGATTGTCCCCTCATCTTCTGGAGAGGAAGTTTCTTCATCTTGGGCAGATGTCTTTTCTTCAAGGGCAGAGGACTGCTTGCTGTCCTTGCTCTCTGACCAGATCATATAGGCAGTGCTTGAAGCAGTGATGATCTTCTTGCCATATTGCCAGTGACTGCTACTACTGCAAACAACTCATATGAATTTCAAAGCTGTTCTAACAGTCCAACACTGGTCTCTCAATCTCCCGTTGGAGAGCTGCAAGCTTCTTCATGATGTTATCAAACTTACGCTCTGTGATGTTGTCATTTTTGTGCTCAAAGAGCAGATTCTGAGAACTCATGACTGCAGTGCGCTTCCCAAGATGTGATCCAATTTGCGCTCAGAGGTGTTATTCTGAGCAAGCCCCTGCAGATGTAATCCAGTTTGCACTAAGAGGTCTTCTTCTGAGTATTCACGGCAGCCGTGCGGTTCTCCAAGATCTTATCCGTGCTGCACTCAATGAGCCCATTTTGAGAAACTCACGCCTCGTCCCATCGTTTCAATCCCAGCGGGCAGCCTTGTGGGGGTTTGAACAGCCGGTTCCGCTTCCTTAATTCTTCGATAAGTCAGGGCCAAGCCAGCTCCGATCAGCAAGAACCCTGTTATCATAGTTCCGAATAGGTAGATATCTTCAGCACTAAGGCTCACCTGAGCCCAGAATTCTCGTTTAGAAAGGGGTGTCAATTGCATTCAGGGACCAGTTGATCAAATCCATAATTCTTCTTTTAGGTTTTAGAGAACAGACTGTGAGAGAATGTTCCAGGGAAAAGTAATACATAAAACACGAGACTAGACAAGGACACAACAGGCTAAGCAGGGAAGCTAAGGGAGAGGAGAGGAGGAGGGGAAAAAAGTGCGACTGCCTTCGCCGAGAGCAAGAGAAGAGTCTATCTTGCAAATACATGTTTGTACTGCAATGTCATGCAAAAACACAAACTATTAGATCCTCAACATCAAACCTATGTCAAAATTGTTTCATTATTTTGGTCCATTGGAGTGTGTTAAGCCATCAAAGGCCACTACTAGAAACTCGGAATATTACATGAAATTGCTTGTTTGGCCAAAAATGGGTAAATGATGTAATTTGGTAAAAAAAATAATAATTAAAAAGTACAATTTTCATGATATATTACTGTCAATAACAAGGAATCAAAAAACGTGGTTATAATGGGTTTCAATTGGCCAAAAATGGCCACGATAGAGTCAAGAGGAACAATTTGGTGTATAGTGAATATTATTGATATTATTAAGGAGCTGATGTTGAAAATTAAAAAAATCTTTAAAAAAATACACACCTTTGGGAAGTTTCATCCCATTTGCATTAACAGAACGAAGATGGTTGAAAAAAGAAAAGTAAAGTGGCCACAAATGGCCAGGATAGAGCCCAGAGGGTTAACCCTCTGGGGTTGACGGACGCGCCAGTGCGTCAAAATCACATGACCAATTTAAGACAACACAGCTACAAGATGCAACGACTAAGAGTCTCAATTTCAACTTGGGTCAAAAGTGCAGACTTGGAACTGTATACCAGTTTTTGAATTGTATCGATGGGCCACGTAAAACCAGAGTTATGACCAAAACTACACGCAATGTTTTTTCTGAAAAAAAAACAGCTGTGTTTACAGTGGGAAGAACAGTAAAAACTGCATTTTCTACAGACAGCGCTAGCAAAAACTCTCCACTTGCGAGTGAAAAAAGAAAAAGAAACAACACCCCTTCCCTATTGGTGTTAGAGTTTACCATGTCAACCAGTCAAAAAAATGATATGGCAACATGTGGCACTTGGTTGTTTAGGGAGAAGGGGAAGTTTTAGGAGTGACACCCACGACGGATAGCGGGAGAGCGAAAGAAAGAGAAAGAGTGAGTTTTTATATGAGAGACATTAGTGATGTTTAGCGTGTTTGGAGGCTATAGTTAGTGTGTTGTGTAGTTATTGTTTTGTATTGTGTGTCAGTTATACTGCTGAATGTCACATTTGCTCCAAAAAAGCCGACAAAGGCAGATTCCAGTGTAAACGCTGTTCCCACATGGAAAACTGGACTGATGCACCTCCTTTTGTCAGACCTGCAGGGTTTAGGCCTGTGGTGTTCTCTGACTTATACTCAACACAAACTATTTTTTTGGACTGGCAACAATAATTTGTGTGCCTTCTTATTTGATCCAGAACACCTGATTGTTCTGTAAATAGATTTGAATGGTTATAAAAAAAAACGCCTGTTTGCAAAACTTGTGTATAATTTTTTAGAAATGTACAATTTCTATTTGCATTTCAAGTTAAGAAAGTGATTCGTTAAACATGTTTGTAGTTTTTACAGTAAAAAATAAAACTTTTTTCTACTCGAATTTTGAATTTTTTGTCTGAATTTAGATCAATTGTGCTAATATAGTGTGCCAAAATGAAAAAAAAACCTAAAATTTAAGATATTTGAGGTTGTGCTGAAAATAAGGATACCAAACAAGGCGAGATAAACAGTTTTTAAAGGTGAAATATAGAGGTAAAATCAAAAGTAGTCAAAAACGGCCAATTATACCCTGGACCCCAGAGGGTTAAGACAAAATGTGTTTAATAAAGTTCAAATTAACTTTGAATACACAGAAAACCTGTGGGGATAGGTTAATTGGATAATCCAAATTACCACTAGGTGTGAATGTGTGAGTGAGTGTGAATGGTTGTCTGTCCCTGTGTGTTAGCCCTGCGACAGACTGGCGACCTGTCCAGGGTGTACCCTGCCTCTCGCCCTATGACAGCTGGGATAGGCTCCAGCTCCCCCCGTAACCCTGAAACGGATAAGCGGAAGCGAATGGATACACAGAAAACACCTGTTCAAGTTTTTTTTTCTTGTGAAGCACTCTGTGGCGTTGGTCTCTAAACATGCTCAGCTCACATACACGGGAATGTTTTGAAAAAAAATTTTTCTTAAAAGGAAAAAAAGGGGGGGGGGGCTGGTGTTTTATGATTTCAGCCCTCTTGTTAACTGCTAGTTATTAGTTACCAACAGCTCTGAATGTTTAAAAATGACACAAGACCCTTTAACCTATTGTATGTTAATCACATATCTAGAAGTTACAAACTTAGATCAGTCTAGTTTCCTTTTTTTTTTTTCATGTTTTGTCAAAACATAAAGGAAAAGCTTGCTTTGAAATCCATCGAAGAAATGAATGATTGGTTTCCTGATAATGAAGATATATATTTTAGAATAGAATAGAATAGATCTTTATTGCCACTGTTACAAGAACAATGAAAAACAGTTTGGCATCTCTGGGTTGGCAGCATTTACATTCAGATCTTTTACAATAACGTATCTACAAAGTAAAATAGGCATCTACACAGAAAAAGATATATATACTCTTAGTCTTGAAAATTTTTTATTTAAATTATTAGATAAAGCTGGTTTATTTTTTTATAAACATATTGCAATTGTGCTCATAACAAGTTGGCGCTATGTCTGGGTAGATATATGGTTCAGATTGCGCGAACAGGTGTGGGATTAGAGCTCTGGGTAGCTCCCCAACTGGGTCTAGACTGGGTCTAGAGAGTATTTTAAATTCAGGGAATTTAAAATAGAAAGTAGCTCGTCCACAGAAGGACTGGTAGCTCCCCTTACGATAAGGGTTCAGATCGCGCGAACAGGTGTGGAATGTGTGTGTTTAGTTAGTTTGCTTGTTTGCTTGTTTTAATCAATTTTAAATCATGCTTTTTATTTGTTTTTGTTTCTAATGTCTCTGTAAAGCACTTTGAATCACCTTGTTGTTGAATTGTGCTATACAAATAAATTTGCCTTGCCTTGCCTAAACGGACTGGTTCTTATATAGCGCTTTTCTACTCTGAGCACTCAAAGCGCTTATACAACTAATTCATTCACCCAATCATACATTTGATTTTTTCTGCAATATCATTTTTATTTTTATTTATTTAGTGGTGTTTTGCAATGGTCAACAGTGTAAAAGACTTTTGATAAATCAATAAAAATAATTGCTCAATACCTGTTTTTATCAAGGGTTCATAGATAACATTAAGGAGGAAATTAAAAAAAATATTTTCATCCAGGTACCACTTAAGTTGATTATTTACCAGCTTTTCAAAACCTTAGCCAAGTAACAGAGTTTGTAAATTGGTCTTTAGTTATTGACCCAGGAAGAATCACAACTTTTCAGCAGTGGGAGTACAAAGCAGTTCCAAAATATCTGGTAAAGTGTTCTGCTAAATGGAAAGATTAAAAATGTAGCACACTGGTTCAGCAATTATATCTGAATAAATATATAAGAAAAAATGAGATGAATTGTCTGAACAGGCTTACCTTTTAGTGTCGAAGCTCTTCAAGGCCTTACATTCCTCCTCTAGCATAAAAAGTTTAAATGAAAAAGTATTACTAACTAAGATGTTAGTTAAAACAATTGAGCATTTCAGCTTTGTGTGTCAGAATTGGAGTCAATAATTAGTTAAGGTGGTAGGTCTAAAGAATGAGAGCAGGCAGAAAGAGAATTTATAGCTCACCAGAACCTCCCAGGGTCTTTTTTTACTGTAAGTGGTTAAGGTCAAAAAGTAATCACATTTGACGTTCCTAATGGAGCGTTTGAACCTATTACACAGTTGATGAAAACCAATCGGCATCAGACTTTATTACAGTTGCTCACGCCTGGTTCTTCTCATGTAGGAGAGTGGCCTATTCAGAATTTTAACCAGTCGCTGTTATTATTAATTATGATTATTACTTATTATTAATCTCTGGCTTTCTTCCACAGTATGTCTTTGTCCTGTATTTTCTGATTGCTGAGTGTTCTCTGTATGATTGTAAGGTCTTTACCTTACAGTACAAAGTGACTATAGGCCACTGTTGTTGTGATTTGGTGCTTTTGTTTTAAATTCACCTTGATTACACAGGCAACTCTCATGAAAAGAAATGTCTCATTTTCAACAGTGGCCTGTTTTAAATATCAACACAAAACTACAACAACAAATAAATAAAATGCAACTAAATTTAATTTAGAAAAATATTTTTAGTGCTTACATAACTAATCAATAAAGAAGCTTTGAGGTTATGTGGCTATCATTGTGGTACCCTGATGAACTTCAAATTATATGTAATTTTTATACATAGAAATGTTGCAATAATACCATTATCAGTGTAATAATGTATAATTCTCCAACAGGTGCACAGGAACCACATCTCAGGATTGCACTTGTTGGGAAGACTGGAGTTGGGAAGAGTGCAGTAGGAAACACCATCTTACAGGAGAAAGTTTTTAAATCAACAACATCGGCTGCATCAGTAACAGCAGAGTGTCAGAAAAGTAATAAACAATTTGATGGTCAATTACTGCATGTGGTTGATACTCCAGGTCTGTTTGATACCAAGAAAAAACAGACTGAGGTGACGCAAGAGATCGCTAAATGCGTCTCCTTGGTTGCTCCTGGTCCTCACGCGTTCCTGGTTGTGATTCAGGCTGCAAGATTCACAAAAGAAGAAAAAGATACTGTGCAAATAATTCAGCACATGTTTGGAGAAAAAGCATCAGATTACACTGTGGTCTTGTTCACCTGTGGAGACAATCTGAAGGCTGATGGAGTGCCCATAGAAAAATTAATAAGTGGAAATCGAGCTCTCTGTGACTTCATCAGTCAGTGTGGTGGAGGATATCATGTTTTTAACAACAGAGACGAGAATCCATCTCAGGTCCGAAAGCTGCTGCTGAAGATCAACACCATGGTTCAGAGCAATGGAGGACGATGTTACACCAATGAGATGTTCAAAGAGGCTGAGGATGCCATAAAAAAAGAGATGGAAGAACTACAGAAAAAACAGCCTGATATGAAGCCTGAAGAAGCGAGAGAAAAGGCAGAGAAAGATAATTCATTTATTCGAAATGCAGTCATTTTTGCAACTACTGCTGTTGGAGCTGTTGCTGGAGCTGCTACAGGCCTTGGAATGTCTGCTTGTACTGGAGCAGCTACAGGAAGTCTGGCAGGTCCAGTGGGAGCTATAGCAGGAGGTGCAGTAGGTCTTGGAGTTGGCGCTGCAGCTGTGATAAAAAAGGCATGTGTTATGCAGTAAAAGGCTTTACTGATCTGCATCTGCATTATGCCAGCTGTGCTGTTTCACCCAGTTTTTGCTTAAAACTGGGTGAAAGAGCATTCTCTATTGAGTTGGGCACAGGATACACACATATACACATACACAGATTGATATTACTAATATTTACTTACTAATAACTTGAGGGGGTAGGGACAAATAAGTAAATACTTCTGCCTACTCCTTTTCAAATCCTGCCTAATCCTGCCTAATCCTTTTGATTGTGAAGGCACATGTTTGAAATGTTTGAAATAAAAATGAACTGAACTGATATTGCATGTCTTTATATGGTGAAAGGTGTGAAGATGTATGTGCTTTTTTTCATGTGCTGTTTGTTTTTCTGTTCTCAAACTGCTCTTGTCTTAGAATCAGAATAACTTTGACTAGAGACCGGCCCACCAGGTATTACAGGAAAAGTCATAAAGCCTTGGAATAAAAACGAATGCTCTTTTGACAGTGATGTACACTGTCTTGTTGAAATATGTATGATTTCTATACATTTTACATCAAATAAAAACTTTGGTTGTAATATTCAGATAATTATTTATTTAAATGAGAATAAGAATGAGAACAAGAAAGAAAAGTATTTCTTTGTGCCCCCTTTTCCCTGTTAATGCCCTACCTGTGTCACGATCCTGGGTCTTTTGACCCAGCATTTTGAGTTTTAGTTTATTTTGATGTTATGGTTTATGTTTAAGTTTATTAGTTTATCTAAGTTCAGTTATTTATTAGATTGCCCTTGTGTTTTCTACTCGTGTTGTTTCCCTTGTCCTTAATGTGTTTCATGTCTGCATGTCTTTTGTCGTCAAGTTCATGTTGTCGTGTCTGTGTTTCATTATGTTTCCTGTTTTATTTTGAAGAGGTCCTGAGTTCCTGTGTTCTTTGTTTTTAGTTTTACTTTCCCCCTGTGACATCGTTATGTTCATGTGTGTCAGCTGTTTCCCCATGTGTTTCCTCTTCCCTCTTTATCCTTCTGTGGGTATTTAGTCTGTGTCTTTCATTCAGTCTTTGTTTGACTGTCTGCTCTGTTGTACTTCATGCCATGTTTCCAGGTATTTCATGTTATTTTCTAGTTTTCTCCCAGTTTAGGTTTTTGTTTAGCATTGTCATAATTTTGCCTTATGTTTTGTACTTATTCATCATCCACAATAAATATTTTGCCTTCTGTTAAAAGTAAAGTCCTGTTTTGTGTGGCTGCATTTGGGTCCTCTGTCTCACTTGATACAGACTGCCTAAGCCAGACTGTGACAACCTGCCCCCCCTGGCAAAACTCTGCTAGACCCGCCCCTGCACAGTTACCAGCTGTCAGCTACTTAGAAAAGCATCCTGGTGTTGTTTGTCTCTCAGAAACAGTTCATAACTTCCCCTCGACTCATTTATGTCACCTAAAAGGTAAACCTGTTTCTCCATTACTTGTTCAGCTCTGATGATTCAGTAAGGACATCTCCTGGTTTCATCTTCATGTTTCCTTCTCACCACATATCCAAACCGACATCATGACCAGCAGCTTTTACAGCTGTGGCTCCAGCAAACATCCACTGATACTAGAAAATAATATTAAATCAATTCTAACAACAGTTGATCGAGCTTAAACGTGCTGCTGTTGTTTAGCGCAACATCCACTGGTTTCTTCTTTCTGGCACAAAGTGAGCAATAAACAAACACAAGAGACGGAACTTGCGTCAGAAATACCGATTAGCTTATCATTGATCAGTTTAATGATTGAAGTAGCAACAGGAAAGGGAGGGGGGGAGAATGAGAGAAGAAGAGGAGGAAGCTGCAGCGTAAAGACACAGAATAACTCCAGTTTTGTGTCTTTTTCCATTCTAGCTGAAGTACGGGACAAACTGTGTTCCTTTTCAGCTCAATATGAAACGCATAATATTTTCTCTGAATATGAGACAATTCCGTTTTTTACGGGAAAGTTGGCAACTCTACTAATTAACCTTTTGAATAAAATAAACTTCACTATCAGTAACATCATAGCACCCACCCAGCTGTATAGAAACTCCATCATGCTAGCGAGTACTCTGTACGTGTTATTGTAACTGACTGTAAAAAAGTCAGCACAACGAAAATAAACTACACCTAAACTTGGCTTATATCTGACCCAGATAGACTGCAGGTCATAACTTCTTACCTAAAGTTCAGTTCACCTGACACTTGGACCAGCCGCAGCTTCGGGTCTCTCCTCCTCCTGCCTCCCCTTTCCCTCATCCATCTGCTGGCCTCTGTAGAAGCTCCGCCATAGCCATCACCAAACAACTTTTTTTACACATCTGGCAGAATCTGGCCAATTGACCACCTTTCATTGTTTATATCATTACAAAAAAATCAAACATTGGCCCATAAAAATAAAAAATCACCATCAGCCCTCCACGCAAATGCACGGTGGACAGTCCAGCTATGTGTAACACGGGGGGCTAATGTTGCCTATATTATATTATCTATATATTATCAGAGTTCCTTTGCTGAGGCTGAAGTGATTACCTGCCTTCTGCTTACAGAGTGTTTCCCCTGTCAGACTGTCCCGAGCAGCTGTGGAAATGGGATGGCTGGGTGACGGTGAGAAGGAAGCATAGTCTTAAACAGAAGCCCCAGGTACACCACTTACCTGTTCATGTGTCTGTTTTTCCCCACTTGGCCACACACCTGCCGGGGATCAAACTCTAATTGGTGATTCTGTTCTGAGACATGTGAAGCCAGACACCAGCAACCATAGTCAATTGTTTTCCAGGGGCCAGAGCAGGCGACATTGAGGGAAATTTAAAACTGCTGGCTAAGGGTAAATGTAAATTCAGTAAAATGATGATTCTCGTTGGGAGTGATGACACACACGGATGTCAATCGGAAGTCACTAAACTCAATATTGAATCGGTGTGTAACTTTGCCAAAACAATGTCAGACTCTATAGTTTTCTCTGGTCCCCTCCCCAATCAGACCAGGAGTGAGATGTTTAGCCGCATGTTCTCCTTAAATTGCTGGCTATCTGAGCGGTGTCCAAAAAATGATGTGGGCTTTATAGATAATTGGCATACTTTCTGGAGGGAACCTCATCTTGTTAGGAGAGACGGCATCCATCCCACTTTGGATTATATTCTCAGCAGCATATTAAACATATCAGGTCCCCATAAGGAGAATCCTGTGCTAACGGTTGTCTAAATGACTCGGGTAAAGTTTGTAGCATGCATGCTTGTTGTTTTTGTCTGCTTCCACTTGTCTTTGCACTAGGATGATGTCGGAGTAAATGTGCAGTCATATTCGTTGTGTTCCCACTAGTGCTTTCAGCATTAATCTGAAATGACGTTAACGCCACAACACGGCAAATCTCCGTTAACGAGCTACCCCTGATCGCCCCGTGCGTGGGGCTAGACGGCCAACACGTTAACGAGCTAACTGCGCTAACACACTAACTCCCACCCATGTAATTGAGCATTGCGTGGCACATCCAACATACTGTTTTACTTTAGTCCATGACGCGCTTACCTTCAGGGTCATACTTCACATGAAAACCAAAATAGTTCCAAACGCCACATCTGAATCAGGGTGGGGGAGGTTAAATTTGCCATGTTGCAAGGAGAGCTTAGCTTCTGTCTCGCTAGCTTGCCCTGCGCTCAGTGAATCTGCGTCCGACTACTCCGCCTAGGCTGCACTGTCGAGTGCAGATCCACTGAGTGCTCAACACAGACAGCATCGTCAGAAGGAAAGTTGATCAAATAAATTAAAAATGTTGTATTGTTCGATACATATGCGTACCGAACCCAAAGCACTGTATCGAAGGGTTCAATATCGATACGAGTATCGTTGCACCCCTAATAATTATGTATTTATTTTATTTTAATTGTATTTTCAGTTGTTACAGATGGGACAGACATGACTGGGGGATACGACAGGGTGAAAGAAAGACTGAAAGAAAGAGAGGGAGAGAAAGAAAAATACAGGGGAGAAGAGATGTGAGAAAGACCCCAACCTCCCTCTGCCCACTCATATGTAGCGTTGCTGCATGCTGTTCTAAAGTGCATTTAAAACACAGGAGGGCATGGTGCTTCCTGCCAGAGAGCAGCACGGCTCCTCCCGAAAACCCTCAGTGTCTAACTGCATTTAAAATTGAGGGTTGGGCACCAACGCCAAAGTTGGGTTTGAATACACAGACCATCCTCTGGACGCTGTATAACGTGCCCACCCCCAAGGCCCTATATGTATGTGTTATGAGAGTATGAGTAATGTGGATGTCTAGG